CAGATGTACGAGCAGCAGCTACAGAAGCTGCGCAGCCAGATCTCACCAAACACACCCACGAACCCCTACGGCTCGTTCGGTGACCTACGAGGGGTCACGTCACCTAGCAACGCCAATGTCAATGCGCGATACAAGCAGTGGGCCGAAGAAAAGTAAGCCGACGTCGCGAATGATGTCGTAACACGCCAGCAGGGATGTGTGACACCTGTGCGGTTTATCGTGCGTGGGGGTTCATTCATGTTGCCTGGTATTATGCTAAACTCAGGTATATTGTGTTATAGACTGTAGTTAAAATTCTGTTGGTGCACGGGGATTTGCGAACATGCGCCGAAAAACAGATAGACTCCTTGTTTGTATTCCTGTCTAAATATTTACAGTGCATACTGGCAGGCAGTTGGATTTGTCGTGGCTGCCGTATATGATTAGATTGTGCGTGGTTTTGAAGTAAGAAGTAATTTTATCGTTTACAAAGAGGCCTGATGTTTAATGGATTTTTTCGCCAAGAGGGCTTACATTTCCTGCAAGTAGGCAAACGTGAGCAAATGGGGTTTGGGTTTGTAGTTAGTTGCACTAAAGAATTTATATAGGCCTGTTTAGATGGAAATTTGAAGTGAAATAAGGAACATTACCAAAATCCTTTTTCCTAGGTGGATCGCACATGATGTAATGTGCTCATTTGTATACATGAGCAATATATGCTGGCAGGCTTTGAACATTGAAATTACTGGTACCTGAAATGATTTTCGTATTTCGCCTACCATTTTACGGGGTGGATCATACTCTCAGTTGGTATAGGCCAATGAAATTCTGAGTACTGCACACATTGTGTAGTCAAATACATGTAGATATAATCTGTTTTCATGAGAAAGTATTGAGTTGAAAATGCTTCCAGTCGGCATCCATTCTGTTTCAGTCGATCATTTTATGCGAACAAGAAATTGTTTAAAGCTGGCCATGAACAGCAACTATGAATGCAGTAAAGGGAGGATCGCATACATCACCATAATGTGTGATTACTTTTGCCAGGGATAAGGTCTTCAAGGCGAGTCTGACAAAGCTGAGGGAGGAGGTGGTGAGGGCAAACGCCATCACTAGAGAAGCAAACTATCTGTCAGAGGAGCTGGCGCGGCGCACTGAGTTCCACGTCACCCTGCAAATTCCTGCAGCCAACCTCAGTCCCAACAGGAAGGTGAGAGAAGCCATGCTATCACTGCAGCCGACTTATATATGTCATTGTTTAACATCACCTCTTAGTTACCAAGGGCAGGCAGGTCACGTTACCGTGTGCCCTTGTTTTACACACATTTACAGCAGTCTATAGTGCAAGCTCACTGTCATTCACTGTTTAGTTCAAAGTAAACCGTAGTACAGTTAACTGTGTGAAAGTAGGTATGATAAAGTATTTTTGCATCATCAAATGTAGTTATTGTGATGATTCATGTAAAATCTTTTGCAACGGCAAGTTTAATAAGGATCTCATTATGAGGTGTTATTCTGTCGGTGCTAGCATTGTTGTGGTTTTACAGAGAGGAGCGTTTGTCAGTGAACCAGCAATCCTCGTAAAACGGAAAAACAAGAGCAAGCAAGTGTGGTCGCTAGAGAAACTAGAGAACAAAATCATAGACATGAGAGAGCTGTATGAGGAGCGCAAGGAAAAGGGTCTTCCTCTGAAGGTATGCCAACAGTAGTGCTGCTTTTCGTATATGTTATAGTGAGTAAGTCCTGCCCTCTATGATGTTAAGGAAAGGAAAGCGCTTCCCTATATAAACATAAGAAAGTACGTCATGCACTCTTTATAAACAATGGAGATAATCAAATTTTTCAAATCTGTTCTTCCTCTATAACACGTCCATTTCGCATCTACGTTGATTATTAAGAAGTGCTGCAAATATAAAAAGTTCACATCAATATCTATTCAGCACGATACGATGTGTTTCACGCCGTGCGTTGTTCACAGGACGAGGTTCCGGTGAAGGGTTACGATCCGTTCTACGAGTCACAGGAGAACCACAACCTGATCGGTGTCGCAAACGTCTTTCTGGAGGTGCTGTTCCACGATGCTAAGCTCGACTATCAGGTTCCCATCATCAGTCAGCAGGGCGAGGTACGTACAGTTGCAGCATTCCGCTCGGTATAATAGCATTGTCCTGCTGCTGTGACATTGATGCCATCCCACTGTCACCATTAGCATTCTGCAACGGTGACAATGTCCTGGGTGTCTCTGCGAAAATATTAATCCTTATGACAATCGCCACTCTTCAGCTATGTCTCCACTAGGGTGGTCCTGCTTTTGAGCACTCTGTCCTCCGTCCTGCGCCGCCTCGAGCCGGACGTTAATTTGTCCTCCTTTTTGGGGTCTGACTAGCTCTACGTTCGTACAGCGGTGCGGTGGCGCTAGTGTTTGTGCAGTCCACCCCTTCGGTGATCTAACAGAAACTCCTGGCCAACATAAAACTTCTGGAGATAGCAAGTAAAGGGCAGAAATACCAAAAATAGATGTATTCTTTTCTTTCAATTTTTTATTAATACTGTATGAAAAAGTATCATGTTAGAATTTTTATTGAATAAAGTAACTAAAGTGATAATCTGTTTGCATTCGTTGTTTTTGCAATACGGTTTAAATTTCATAAAAAAAACTTGCACTTTTTTTTGAAACACTAATATATGGTAACCTATGACCACGTGCGCAATGTCCTCCTGTTTGGAAATTTGGAAATGGCCACCCTAGTTTCCACACACACGGCACGGCACTGCACGGCAAAACGCCGCGCCGTTGTGCTGAAAAAAGTGCATTCATTGAGATTTAGCGCATTGTGTCTGAGCGCATTGTGTTCACTCTGGTTCAGTGCACTGAATTTGATCAGAAATTATACATGTGCTTGTTGTCTATTGGCTGATAGTGGCGTGACCAGAACACGTGATAAAAAACAATTGCGTTGATTGGTTCAATTGTCTTTCGCCGTACACAGCATCCGGCAAAAGTCAAACTCATTTGACTTTCCCCGTTGCCGTGAAACCGGGCCGGCTCCGTGCCGTGTCAGTGGAGAGTGGAGACTGTGCCATAAGATATTTATAGATTTGAATTTTGCCAGAACGGGTGTGTCAGTCCTTGGTTGTATCGATACAATTTCTGTGTAGCAGTGAGCTGTTTCCAAATTAATTTCATTCTTTGTGAACGTTATGTATGTTCTAATATACATCTGAGCAGTCACTTGTCTTCTAATGCGTACTCTAACCACATTGCTAATTTGACTCTAACATGTCATCTTCTGTCTACTTCACATACAGATACAGACTATGCTACGTTATAAAAATAGCTTGTTAATGTCATCTGTATCTAGCTAACTGGCTTGCAAGGTGATCGCATTCAGATGTATACCAGCAGCTCGTTCTGTCTTCTCTTCCTCTGGCCTCTCTCCTCTTTCCCTCTATACCCTCCTACTTCTTCCTCTCTCTTTCTCTCTCGTCTCTCTAGGCCTCTCTCTTCTCAATCTATCCGCCCTCTCTCTCTCTCTCTCTCTTCTCGTCTCTCTCTCTCTCCTCTCTCTCTTCTTCTCTACTCTCTCTCCTCTCTCTGCTCTCTCTCTCTCTCTATCTCTCTCTTTTCTCCTCTCTCTCTCTCTCTTTCTCGCTCTCTCTTTCTCTCTCTCTCTCTCTCTTTCTATCTCTATCTCTCTCTCTTTTTTTCTCTCTTTCTCTCTGACTCCCTCTCTCTCCCGCCTGCTACTGGGCTGCAGGGAGAATGGTCATGCAGATGTGCAGCAACAGCTCATGGGTTCTCTCTTGTTCTCACGCTCCTCGTCTAGGTTGCAGGCAGACTACACGTGGAGCTGTCACGTACCGCAGGCACGCTCGGCTCTGACCGCATGGGCGACGCAGAGATCGATGAGATGGACATAAACAAGAACAATATCGACGATGACTCAAACATGCCGACCAGCCACATAACCGTCAAGGTATAGCTGAATTACAGGGGCATGGCTGGGTACTGTAGGGTGCAGTTCCACTGGGTTAGCTTCGGGGGCTTTGTTGGGTGAACATGGGTGTCGCGATGTTAGTAAGTAACTGCCCATCTCGACTTTTGTTAGTCTTCTTGTAACTTTTGTTATGTAATCTTGAGAGGTGCTGAGATGTAACTGTGAAGGTGTCACAGGAACAGTACAGGCAGTTACAGCTGATTGCATCGCACACGTTCACACGTGCTAAGCCATCCAGAACCTTACTAGCCCCTTTTATATATTACCCCTTGTCATGCAAAGTTATGGCATAATTTTTCTTGGTTGCTTGAAACCCAGCCAGCTAAGAAACCCTCTTGAAGGCCTTCCTCCTCCTTCCCTCCCCATCCACTCAAGATAAATGTGTATTATGTTTTTTTCTCGCTTCTCACTGTTAACTTTACAGAGGCTAATTAATCAAAATATTTTTACTAGAGAGTAGATGGGCAGATATAAGTTGATTTAGATGATTAGTTCTCATAGAGCATTAATTAATTTCTGATTGGCTTCCGGCAGCTTGTGATAAAGGAGGCGTCGGGACTGCCACCACATCTGTCCAACTTCGTATTCTGCCAGTACAATTTCTGGGGTGAGAGTGAGTCAGTGGTGGTGGCACCGGACATCAACCCTGATGGCCTGATACAGATAGAAACGCCAAAGAGAGGCGCCACATTCCATTTTAACCATGAGAAGGTGTGTATATCATCTTTGGCATAGTATATACTGGTATACGTCTATGTGACGACTTGTACAGTGTTCATAGGTCATTTTCGTTAATTTACATGACATTGCATTGCATTACGTCAATAGCACATAAACCAATTATTAAACAACATAACCGTTGATGTGCTCATGATTACAATTACATAACATTAAATTGCATCACATTACATTACATTGCAGTGCATTGCATTGAATTTAACTAAAAAAAGCAGGTCCATTGTTACATCATTATTTTAGTACCAGCTTGTTTCCGTTTATGTGCTGTATGGGTTTTCCCACCAACTTGTACGAAGCCAGCTAGCCATTTTGAGTAGCCGGCTGCCTAGTCTCTGTGCTACCCATGCAAGTGTGCGCTGTTCCTCGTGCGCCGTATATATCACCATGATGAGGACATATTTTCATTTTATTTGAATGAATACGCATGATAACAAGGTTGGGGAATATAAATATGTCTGAGAAAATTTCTCAACATTTTGTTGCAGTGCTGCTGGTAAAATAGGACAAATCGCCAAAAGCTTCTGTATTAAAACATGATAGTTGGTTTTTTTTTGCAGCATATAGTGAATGAGAATATTTTAGTGCTTTTATATTGACGCATTTTCTCTATGTAATGGAATGGCTTTCATCTTGATGCATAAGCGTTATTACATATTATAACATTATAAACCTAAAATGTTTGTTAAATTTACTGCATGTAATAAGATTTGGTGACAAAAATCTTGGTTAATGCAAAGCAGGTGTGCCCAAATACAAAAGTTTTATTACCCATTACACCTGCCATTATTTTCCATTATTTGCATAAAGGAGACCGCCCTTAAAAGGTTAAACAAGACAGCCCTTAATTGCTACGCAGCCATTAACAGGAAATTAAATAATTTTCCCATTTAACCTCATCACAGGATAGGTTTTAACCAGCGGGTGCTCGTAAAGCACCAGCCGTTCTTAAATTGCCTGTACAGCATGGCAACAGTATCCGCGGGAGGCACTATAGCCTCAAGTGTCTTTGTGAAATGTCTTAACGAATGAGTGTGGTTAATTGTTATTTCCGCTGAGGGATGCCCTGTTGCCTTTGTATTGCTGTGATTATAAGGTTCTGTGTCTGACTTATATCTGGCTTCGGTAAGCTTGTTGGTTCATCAACCTACATCAGTGTCAGGGGATGCTACACCACATCATTAATCACTGTCACGGGTCATCATACGGCAACACTGTCATCTGTATAGCTCACTTTATAGGGACATCTGTGGGTCTCCCATCATGAGACATCGTGCAACGAGTCCACTGCCTTTAATGTGTAGATAGTTCATGTGGCGACACCTGTGATCGTACATAGTACTGTAAGGTTGTGCGCTGCAGGAGCTTTGTATGTGCGGTAGTGCATGTGGCGCCACCTGTAGTGATAATCGTGTATGATTGTGTGTTCTGTAGGAGCTGGTAGTGCAGGTCGCGGATGAGTTCCTTGAGCACTGCATGGAGGGAGCGCTGTCCGTCGAGGTGTGGGGTCATCGCAGCTCCGGCTTCGGCACATCCATCCTCGGCTGGGAGATGGACAGCATCAATGCTAAGACACGCTCGCTGTCAGACAGGTATCTACATCGATATCACCAACAGCACACTGCAATGAAAGAATCACCATCATTCTTATATGCTGTTGATTTCAGTTGTTAGTTTTGCCCCGTACTACTTCACGATTACTCCCTGCTTGTTCTACTTTACGTAAACCGAAATGTTCAAAAATATTGAAAACAGTACAGTTTTGGTGTTGTAACAACCTATTCTGCTATATTTGCACAGCAGACACAGCAATAGTTTATGCAATTTCTGAAGTCATCTAGATCTGTCTTTAGTGCCCTGTGACTGTACATGGTGACAGTGATTGTCACATCGTTACAGGTGGAGGGAAGTGAAGCGACGGTTCTTGTGTTTAGTGTCTTGTAAGCATACATAGTAACAGAGGTTAGCACATCATTACAGGTGGAGGGAGGTGTATCAGCAGTTATTGTGTCTAGTGTCTTGTGAGCGTGCATAGTACCAGCCATTGGCACATTTTACAGGTGGAGGGAGGTGAAGCGACGCTTGGAGCTGTGGGTGGAGATCCATGAGCTGAATGAGCACGGCGAGTACGCACCCGTAGAGAACGTCGTCAAGCCGGAGATCTTCACCGGCGGCGTCTTCCAGCTTAGACAGGTGTGGCATAGAGAGACGTAGTATCGTTGATGGGTGGTAGAGGAGCGAGAGACACCTTCATTTCTGTGAATGCATGGAGTGAAGTGCCTTCACTGATAAGGCAGGGAGTGAGCTGAGCTTTATAAAAGTGAGGCAGGGAGAAAGCTGCGCATTGTGGAAGTATGGCAGGGAGTGGGTGTGCTTTATAAAGGTGCAGGTATGTAGGAAAAGAGCAACCCTATATTAAAGTGAAGCAGGGAGAGCTGACTTTCATAAAATTAAGGCAGAGAGAGAGCTGTCCTTCATAAAAGTAAGGCACAGAGAGCTGCTCTTCATAGAAGTGAGGCAGAGAGAGTGAGAGTGCTCCACTGTATGTAGGTAATATTGGGGGGGAGCAACTTTTATACCTGCTGGGCCTAGTATTAAAGGGAGAGTTTACTCTAGGTTCTAGGGTTATTTTCAGCTAATTTAGGTTATAATTACGCTACATAAAAAGTTTCATGGTTCAATCACCATTAGAAATATTATTAAAAAATGTTTTAAAACTAACGACTCAGTTTGATTACAACGACGGTGGCGCCACTCAAAGCGCACGATCTGATAAGTTGCGCAAAACCACTTTCCAGCCAAGGGCTACAGACCGAGGGTGTTTCTTATTTATTAATTTAAAAGCAAAAGGATTGTAATATCTTATAAACGACATATATAGTTTCAGTTATAATATGGATAAATTTGCCCTAAAATGAATATCGTTCGGTTAAATAGCATTTAGTTATAAATATAATTGCACTTTTATGATTAGCCCTCGGTCTGTAACCTGCAAAATAAATTGTCAAATACGCAACTTTTTCGGGGTGGCAGCACGGTCGCGGGTGTCATGGCGCCGTTCAAATTTCGTAGCGTTGATGTGTAAATAATTATAACAATTAAATTAGGTATCTGGTAACAAATACGTGTGGGTATAGACGATTTGTTATACAGTAAGTACAGTTGTATGCAGTAAAATCCTAGAGGCTACTGTCCCCTTTAACGTTTGTCGGCACTGCACCATACGTGAACTAAACATCAATTGGTCATTAGTCCTTCTTTAGTCACCATGGGAATTCACAGAGTGTGATTTAATGCTACATGTATGTAATAGCACAGCCGGTATTGGATTCTAACGTTTTTAACAAATCTCATCAATCAATCGGCGGCAGTGCATGACATCTGAAAGCACTCACTACGCAACACTGAGATATAGAAGTCTGGCGTCAATGCCCCCATCGCCTAAATATAATGACGTAAAATGTGTATTTTCTGTTTTCAAACACATTCTAGTTCTTTGCTAGTGCTATACTACCCTTCTATTCTTTCTAAATCTGCCAACTGTGTGGCAGGATGAGTGCGTTATGCATGACAAATTAATCATACTATTTGACTTGCCTTGAAACATCAAACATTAACCAACACTCTTCCCCTATATCAATGGCATTTCTATGTGATAATAGCTAACCCGACTGACACTGACTGTGCCCTTCATAAAACGCAAGGTGCCAGATATGTCATGGGAAGGTCACACGAGGGTAGCAGGTGTGCATAGTGATGTACAGTGGATTCATTGGTAGGAAGGTGGTAGGATGTATGGTACCCATTTAAAGGTGTACCTGAACACCTCCAAGTGTGTGAGAGGCCGGAACTGCAATGTGGTGCTCATAGGAGCACGTATATTTAGCACGACCCATGACGTTAAGCGATCATTGAGTAGACCTATCAGTAAATGAAATTGAGAGAGAAAGTTACCCTGCTATCAACTATTTACGTGTGCGAAGCATACCCATGCAGGCTAGTAGTATTTCATATATCAATTAATGCCTATAATACACCGAATTGGAAACCTACAGTTGTAGCGGTCTCAGTGTCTTCATATATAATTGTCCATCGACGGCCTCTCACACTCCAATCACGTAGCGTCCAACGTTAAATTACATTGCCGTGTATCGTGCAATGCAACATACAACGCTACACAGTGGTCTCACAGTGGTCTACTGCCACACACAGTACTTTACAGAAACGAATCCTACGATAAAACATTCGATATTAGCTCTTTCTATCAGGCGGACGTTTAGTGCTACGGGAGTTAAGATGTGAGTTTTTACTGTCGCATGCCTAATTGGTTGAAGAGCCACGTGTGACCAGAATTTGTCCTGCTGCAGGGTCACTCGCGGCGTATCCTCGTGCGCGTGAAGGCAGTACCGAACTCCGGCACGCTGCCCCTCATCTGTGACTGCATCAAGTCCATATCAATCGGCAGCGTGTGCGTGCGCTCAAAGCTGCAGAAGTCACTCGACTCCTATCAGGAGATCGACCTCGACCTACTGAAAAACAAATGGTCAGAGGCGCTCGGCAGGAGGCGGGAATACCTGGACGAGCAGATACAGAAGATCATCAACAAACCAGGTAAGCCATAGTCCACGTCACACTGCTGACCCTGGGTCAGGCACTGCCACCGCCCACGCTACCTCACTGACCTGTCATCTCTAACCTTCGGTCAGGCACTGCCACCGCCCACACTGCCTCACTGACCTGTCATCTCTAACACTCGGGCAGGCACTGCCACCGTCCACGCCACACTGCTGACCCTGGGTCAGGCACTGCCACCATCCATGCTACCTCACTGACCTGTCATCTCTGACCCTCGGTCAGGCAACGCCACCGTCCACGCCACATTGCTGACCATGGTTGTTAATTCAATTGCCAAAGGCACCGCTCATGTCAACATTGCAATTTCTCCACGCAGACAAGAGCGATGCGGACATTGACAGAGAGCGCAGTCTCATCGATCAGTGGGTGTGCCTCACTGAGGAGCGTAATGCCGTGCTCGTGCCGACCGCAGGCAGCGGCATCCCCGGCGAGCCGGCTGACTGGAGCCCGCCCGCCGGCCTCGAGCAACACATTCCTGTCATCTTCCTCGACCTGAACGGTGAGCGGCAGCTGCGCATGTCGATTAGGAGGTTTAGCCGTGTGCGTGCATGCGTGCATGTATGTATTTAGGTGTGTGCATGCGTGCGTGTACGTGTGTAGGTGAGTGCGTGCGTGTACGTGTGTGTGTAGGTGCGTGCGTGCGTGCGTGTACGTGTGTAGGTGAGTGCGTGCGTATACGTGTGTAGGTGAGTGCGTGCGTGTACGTGTGTGTGTAGGTGCGTGCGTGCGTGCGTGTACGTGTGTAGGTGAGTGCGTGCGTGTACGTGTGTAGGTGCGTGCGTGCGTGCGTGTACGTGTGTAGGTGAGTGGATGTGTGCGTGTACGTGTGTAGGTGCGTGCATGTGTGTGTGTGTACGTGTGTAGGTGCGTGCGTGTGTGTAAATGTGTAGGTGCGTGCGTACGTGTGTGTGTGTACGTGTGTAGGTGCGTGCGTGTGTGCATGCGTGCGTGTACGTGTGTAGGTGCGTGCGTGTGTGTACGTGTGTAGGTACGTGCGTGTGTGTACGTATGTAGGTGCGTGCGTGCGTGCGTGCGTGCGTGCGTGCGTGCGTGCGTGTACGTGTGTAGGTGCGTGCGTGCGTGAGTGGGTGTACGTGTGTACGTGCGTGCGTGCGTGCGTGTATGTGTGTAGCTGCGGGCGTGCGTGCGTGTACGTGTGTAGGTGCGGGCGGGCGTGAGTGGGTGTACGTGTGTAGGTGCGTGCGTGCGTGCGTGTACGTGTGTAGGTGCGGGCGGGCGTGCGTGGATGTAGTCTATAATTACCCATGTTGAGAAACGCGTGTGGAGATTCGCGGGGACAGCGTATGGTTTGTCTTTTGTAGGCTAAGCTCTTGCACCGTATCACCATGCAATGTAGAATATAGTTTATAAACAGCCACATAAGCTAATAAGGTGACCGTCTTAGATCATTGCATTGAATATTCCTTTATCGGTATTTTTGTGCAGCTGATGATATGAGCACGAGTAACGTGGATGGTCTGCAGGGAGCTGGCATCAATTCCATCCTGCCTAAGGAACATGGAACAAAGTTCTACAGCCTGCCCATTGTCAAATTCTCTGAACACGAAGTACGTGCTTGCGAGATGCAGTACATGCGAGACGCAGCTTTAGCAATTCTGTAGTAGAGTATCGTGTAATATTCGAGGTTGAAGCCATAGTATGGTGGCCGAGATGGCTACAGATATTTTTATTATTTATTTTTAATTTATTTTCATTCCAAATTCATTTTCATTTCAAATTCATTTTCATTCCAAATTCATTTTCATTTCAAATTCATTTTCATTTCAAATTCATTTTCATTTCAAATTCATTTTCATTTTTATTTCAAATTCATTTTTATTCCAAATTCATTTTCATTCCAAATTCATTTGCGAGAAATCGCGGTGGCCGAGATGGCTACGGATATTGGTAGGGGCGGAGTGACGTCACTTCCCCTTAGTGGGACTCGACAAACCTTCAAAACAAGAGAACAAACGCCAGTTGTTTTGGTTTATGATAGGTAGATAAGTAGGTTTTTCTGATGTATATTTCATGAAAAACACATTTTACTCATTAATATAACATATAATATCACTATAATTGCAATTCTTTGTGTGAATGTGTTATTTTCATCTCCATCTTAAAGTTATGAGAGGGTCTCGGCTCTCATAATACGACATACGTACGTACGTACGTACTGCCTACTGCCATACTGGTACTATAGCCCTTTGCTCCGTCGCAGGATAATGGTATGCTATTTCTGAATTGTTAGATGGCGGTACGTAGTCCATAAAACGTCTTGAACTGACCGTTAGACTGGTTCGCGGCCCCACTGCTCTCGTGCGGTCGTGCCGTCTAGCATAGCGAGCTTCTGAGTGGTGCTGGCGGTGGGGACCAGTCTAGAGCTCACGTGTGATGTGGTTATCGCGTCCTCGTGTTGCTAACAGCAAGCAAACGCCGCATAGGCACACGGCGCGCACACACGCACACGCGCGCACGCACGCACACGCATATGCACACGGCGCGCGCACACGCAAAGGCGCACGCACACACACACGCTCCTGCGACGGAGCGAAGGGCTATAGTACCAGTATGGCAGTAGGCAGTACGTACGTACGTACGTATGTCGTATTACGAGAGCCGAGACCCTCTCATAACTTTAAGATGAAGATGAAAATAACACATTTACACAAAGAATTGCAATTATAGTGATATTATGTGTTATATTAATGAGTAAAATGTGTGTTTTTTATGGAATATACATCAGAAAAACTTATTTATCTACCGATCATAAACCAAAACAACACATTTACAAACGGCGTTTGTTCTCTTGTTTTGAAGGTTTGCGAGTCCCACGAAGGGGAAGTGACGTCACTCCGCCCCCACCAATATCCGTAGCTATCTCGGCCACCGCGATTTCTCGCAAATGAATTTGGAATGAAAATGAATTTGAAATGAAAATGAATTTGAAATGAAAATGAATTTGAAATGAAAATGAATTTGAAATGAAAATGAAAATGAATTTGAAATGAAAATGAAAATGAATTTGAAATGAAAATGAATTTGAAATGAAAATGAATTTGAAATGAAAATGAATTCGGAATGAAAATGAATTAAAAATAAATAATACAAATATCCGTAGCCATCTCGGCCACCATACTATGGTGATGAACATTGATTGCTCATTCTGTCTTGGTTCCAACTCATGTTTGGATGTGAGAACAGTCACTGTTCGTTTGCTCCCTCTGTTTTGATTGATTGTTTCTAACCATATCCAGATTCGGTTGTTTCGTTTAGGAAGGTTTCTGTCCACCTTCTCATATAAAGTTTTGGCTACTACATGACAATCTCTGGTAGGGTTGCTTCATGCCATCTGAGTATTTCTTCCCTTCATGTAATCATGAAAGATTTGCTGATCCATGCCATATAACTGCTTGTTTTGAAAGTATGCAATTGGTAAAAATATTAGACGTGTGATTTGTGTTGCATATTCTGCTTACAGGTTTGTTCCCTGTGTTCGTGGGACTCCTCCATCCATGACTCTCCATACTTGAACCGAGTGACACCACCGAACGAGAGGATTTACCTTATCCTGAAGGCAACTGTGCAACTGTCACATCCAGGTGATGTCCACATTCATTACCCCATATTATATTTATTAAAGTAGATGAGTTTGTCCCTGTCTCTTTCCCTCTATTTATTACCTTCCTTCCCTCACTTTTTCTTGCATTCTCGCTTTTCTCTTTCCCGCTCTTCATTTCTCTCATTCTCCTTCTACCTCCTCCCTCCCTCCCTCCTTCCCTCCCTCCCAATCTCTCTTCTTTCTCTTACTCCCACTCATCCTCCCTTGTTCATCCTTCCTCTCTCCTTCTGTTCCCGCAATGACTAAACTGCATATGGAAATGTCACGTTATTTCTATCTGCTGCTGTCACTGTAGGTGTCATGGAGCTGGTCTTACGCAAACGTATTTGCATCAACGTCTACAAGAGACAAAGTTTCACGGAAAAGCTTTTCAAGAAGATCGGCATGCAGTGGGACACTCTGCATGCATGCGGTGTACAGTACGAGATCGTGTCAAACATTCCAAAGGTATGTGCATTTCATAATACCATACTCTATGTCGTATGTTTTTATGACATCGAGATTAGAAAATAAAGAACACAATATTTCTTTAGCGTCTTTTGCACCATGCACTGTTTACAAACACTTGTTCATTATGTAGGTATTAATGGGGAAAACATTAAAGCATATCATCAGCATCGTTATATATAAAAGCATTTTAAGCTAGTGAATACTAGCATTTACTAATATTGTTTTTTATGCAATTAATCAGTTACAATATTGTTGCTTGTGAGTGGATCCATACTCCAAGCTATAGGTCAATAACCGTATATATAATCGTCTTCTATAACTTTAATAAATTAAAAGATTACTATCCAGCTAGACTATCTAGACCTGCTTTCATTTGACTATCGAAATGAGACAAACTGAGCATTAATAATATATGCGCAGTGAAATCAATAACAACGATTGCTTCTCCAACTAAACCAAAACTAAAATCAAAATTGTCATTATACTTTGTGTGTTATTCAAGTAGACTTATGTGTGCAGCGATAGATTAGATTAACATTGCCACTGATGTCTGCAGGCTTCAGAAGATCCAGAGGACCGGGAGTCACTTGCGCTGATGGCAGCAGCATCCGGTGCCAGTGGGGACCAGGAAGAGGGGCAGTCGTACATCGAGCGCTATATCCATGGCGTGTCAGCAGTGGAGAGCATACTCGCGCTGGACAGGCTTAGACAGGTGCTGTCATTGTGTCGCCCTAGTGCGCAGAAATATACCTGTCCGTCATTAGCAAAATTACAATTTCGTTCTTGGTTAGATATTTTCTCGTTGAATATTGTTTCATTAAAATTGAACAAAAATTAATGATATCCATGGAATGTCGCAGAAAATTATTTGACATGAAAAATATCTATGCCAACAATATTTTTTCAGAATAAATATTTCAAAGAAAAAATGGTATTTATGAAGAAGTGTGCATAATAGTTGGTACTGGAGTGTACGTTTTTCATTAAGTTGTTGTGACTCTGACTTGGTAGTTGACTTTTCACAGGAGGTTGCAGTAAAGGAAATGTTAGCAGTCACAGGCAAACCCATCAGGAAAACGGCCAGTGTGCCTAATATTTCCAACGTGAGTTTCCCTCGTCCACTGTGTCGTCTCGGCCAGTCTTCCATTCACTTGTTGCCATGTTGAGATTTACCAGTTATCATACTGTTACTTTCACCTTCCTGTTATCCTTCGTCCGAAGTGAGTTGCAAAATTTCTCTTCAACCAGTTGTAGCTTGAAATTACCCTCCGTGTTATTGCTGGTTATCGTCATACATGTGTGCATGTTCCCTCGATCATAGGCTCAGTATCCCTGGCATTTGCGGTGGATTTTTAATTGTACGTCGTTATTAACACACTGGTGCACTGCTTGACTCTGACCCTCGCTGCTACCCTTGCTGGCTGTCATGCGGTGCACATTTATGAGATGATTACTGCATTTTGTTATCATATTTACATTAATCTACGATAATTTGCATGCAGCACATGTAGGTTACAGCAGATAACAAATAACAGCACGTATTATAGTCTAGCATGAATATAACATGTATATTGAATTCGATACATACATGCATATACATATATATATATATATATATATGTATATATATATATATATATGTATATATATATATTTATATTTTTATATATATGTATGTATTCACTAATAGCGTTCCTGGCGTTCTTCGGGTTATATTCTACATCAAAATTCATTCTTGGTAGCTCCTCGGTATAGGGATGTCACGTACGAGGTTAAAACGGGAGTAATTTGAGTTTGGTGTGTATTTTTAAATTCATCACATATTTTTCATTAATATTCAGAATATTCTATTCAGAATATTCAGTTCATTGTGTCGGCAGTGTGATGATCAGATCAGTGTTGTGTCATTATTCTCATGAAGTTTGGATATACCCCTAATGGATTCCCCTTTGCAGTTTGATTTGTTTAGATCGGTGTCGTGTAAGTTTCCCCTGCATCTTGCTGTAGTGCGTACAACACGTGTGTTTTGTTTTACAGATTTCTAGATTCCACTCTGAAAGTAGTCTAACGGAACTTGCCCCTACTAGTAGGTTAGAAGTTCAGGTACTGCCACATATTTATTTGCTTTGCTTTCTACCGTTTGTTTCGAATGCACGCGTAATAACACTGCGCATGGCCCCACGGCCGCGTGTTCGCTTGTTTCTCTAACTAACCAAGCGTCGTGCCTAAGGCGTAGTGGAGTGCTATGTCCAGTATGCGTGTAGATACAGCCATGGATAACCGATGCACGTATGGCATAATTAGTGACATATCAATTGTATATATGTCATATCTGTTGACACAGCCTCTCAGTTAACCGACGCGGCTATTAAAAATTCCACTGTATGTGTTAAGACAGACTGATATGGCAATATCATAGAGTGCCAGCAAAGCATGTTCAACCTGTGTGTTGTGCCCGGGAGCATGGCAAATTTACCTGGCCTTGCCTCAGGGCACCTACTATGGCAGAACACTGTAGTGAAAACTACTGTGGTTTGGCTTTCAATCAGCAGAGTATTGAGAAATGAACCTGCAATGGGCCAACAGTCCATTCAGAAGTCTGGATCAAAGAGATTCAGAAAGTATTTAAATTTGCATTTATAATTTATAGCTATATAGTGAAGAGTAGAAAGGTTTACACATGGGTACATCATTGTCGACAGTGATGCGGGTATATATTAGGTTATTGGACCTTGTCACTGCGACACGGTCAACCTCGAAAACCGACCGCAATTTCGGTGTGCAGACACTTGACAAAAACACGGTGATGTTGCTATGGACGTTCGACCTTTACACTGATGTTTAATCATAATTATTGGCAATGAAAATCTAGTAAACCATCCATATGTCTTTTATATACTATCATTGGATTTCATTGGCAATAAAAAGTGCAGCTTGACAAAGGCAACAAACTAGTTATCGATTGGTTATATACTAACTTTTGTGCTAGGAACAAATCTTTGATTCATCTTGAAATTAAAAATTCACCTCTTATAGGCCTAGTTGACCACGCAGAGAAATCTTGAGAAAATACTCTGGAATAGTCGCAGTGGGAAGGTCCTTGCTGGTGTGTGTGCGTGCGTGCGTGCGTGCTGGGGTCAATCGCTCATTCGGTTGTAGGTGTGAGGTTGAAGGCTCGTGTTTGTGGTTTGTCAGTGCCGTGCAGACAGCGTCATGGAGCTGCACCGCATGTCCCCGGACTTCTCCATCCCTAGCCACCAGTACGTCACCTCGTGGGAGAAGGAGTTCCGTCGCAAGTCGCTCTCCGACACCTTCCGCAAGCAGAAGGACCGCGACAGGCTCACGCCAACCAAGGATTTAAAGGGCACATTTCCTGGTCTCGGTAAGTCGCACGTTTGTGCTGTACGGAACATATGCGCAGACTCGATGTTGTGTTGCATTCCAGGGAAGGGAGGCAAACTAGGGGAAGTACTGTTTCTCTACTCTATTTCTCTACTCTATTATTGCTGACAATTTCCTGTAAATGCCGTGCACATGCTCCTCTGCAACACACATGTCTACCGCACGCACGCTGCCACACACTGACACATAAATATAGAGTCATATTTATGTTTATGTGTCATATTTATATTTATATATTTATATTTATATTTATGTTTATGTGCTATATTTATATTTATGTGTCGGCGTGCGGCAGCGTGCGTGCGCTGGACATGTGTGTTGCAGAAGAGCAGGTGCACGGTATTTACAAAAAAATTCACGGCAATAATAGGCGAAAGAGAGTAGAGAAACATTAAGACGTTAGTAGTAAATAGATTTCGTATTTATTTAGCATTATATTTTATTGAAACGCTCCCAAGTGCCTGTGTATGTGATGTGTGAATTGCCAGCGGATGAACGAAATCTGAAGCGATGCTTAACAGCCCTGCATTATCTTGAGTTGGCGATCATTTGGACGAGAGTTGACTTCAGTATTCTGTGAGAGTCGTGGGTGGGACGAGGTCGGTGGCAAACTTGATGCCTCATATGCTACTGCCTTTTTGCGTTCCATTTGGCATTAACAGTTACTGGCTTGCCATGTGTTACTTAGACGCTACCGATTTGCGGTGTCGTTTGGCTTTCTGTGTGTCTTACTGTCGCAAACAATCGGTTTTTTTCCCGTTCACTCAGACTTCTTCATAAAATATGCTTGTTGCATTTAATGTGTGGTTCAAGTGGAGGGGAGGACAAAACGTGAGAGCGATTGATATAGCTGAATTCGCTGCAATGAATCACAATAGTTATAATTAGTAATTAAACAGTGTCATAATGTTAAATAAGTCTGTGTTTTGTAATTCTTTATCAAACATATGTTATAGTTCGTAATTGCAAGTAGGTGGCACCTGTTAACTGTTTTGTGATGTGAATGCACAGTGGAGCCCCCGTGTGTGTATATGTGTGTGTTTGAGTACATATATATATATATATATATATATATATATATATGAATTATTAAACGCTCAACGACCGCGGTTTCCTCCTTTAACCCACCTTTCTTGATTTTTCACGCAGCCCGACCAACGTTCCTCAACATTCGACCGCAAACGTATGTGAACAATAAGTCCAAATGTATGTCCACTGAAGACACATCATCAGCGCTTATTGGTTATGTTCTATTACGTTTTTCGTTGCCTGCTTCTAGAACGGAGAGCATGCTGAGAATGCGGTAGTCATACATTCCATACCGTTTGGGCTCGTGTTGTATTTAGACCTCCACCTCCAAGTGGTGCTGTGAAGACAGTTGTTGTTGTTATTGTTGTGTGTTGCGTGTTGTTCTTGTTATTGTTGTTATCGTAAATTATTAGCGGCCTCAATCAAAATTTATTGCACTTCTTGCCAGTAGATGGCACTGCAAGTCATTGGGATACAAATAGTTTATCACTGATAGAAGGCTTCACCCTGTTGCTGGGGATATGACGTCAAATGGAACTGTTGCCTTGTTAATCGTTCTACGAGGTTAATAGCACACCCATACACTTAAAGTTTCGCTGTAGAATTAGCGTTCACCTAGTTTGCAGAGTAGTGCTGATATTAACATAGTTTGTCAATTTCACTAAGTCTCCAAAGAGGTGGACGTCTAGATTAAAATATAGGATGAAACGGCCTAAGAATTTTCGCCCAGTATTTTTCATCGCATAGTAAGTGTTAAGTGTTACCGTGTGGCTTGTTTGTGATACGACTGGACTTCTTTAGGAAAGGCTGCATGTGGAAATAGTCCCTAGATTGTAGAGACATCCTGTTTAGTCAGTGTATGTACCAGTCTGTAGATGTAAACTACACACAGCTTGGTTCATTTAGGTCCACTCCACGTACAAATGGCTGGACTATAATAACGGATGACAACGACGAGAGGGTTGAATCGGAACTGTGCATTTGCTGCAATACCCACCTGATTTCCTGTATAACATGACTGTATCGTCAACTTTTAGAGCGGGAAGAGGACGTGTGGATGTACTGCTGTGTGTTTGATGTTCTGCTGCTAGTTGGGAGTTCGTGTAGCTGCATGCATAGCTAACGCAGCGGATACTTGGATCGTGGGTTATCAGTGTGTGCCGAATGAGAATGTCGAGAAGAATTCAAGTTGGCTCTGGCTTTTTTTTCTGGCCAATTGCGATGAGTGTGCTATCGGCTGTAGGGCTGTGATTAGTGGCAGGACTGGTTAGTGAAGGAATGCGAGCATGGTCACCATTTGTACGTTTGTTGGTGTGACTCTGTAGCTATACGGTTAGCTAACGCATACTGGGGGGACGTTTGGTCGAGAAGAATCGAGCAATAGCATATATTATATCGCACGCCCCTTCACGTGTAGTGAATGCCCATGTAACATTTAGGTGCAAGCGCCGCAATCAATGACAGGCGGATTTTCTTTGTGCTTGTTGTTAAGCTCCTTGTCGATTTGTAATGCCTCGTTCAGGTTAAATGTCTACTAAAATCTGATTGTTAAAATTAAACAAAAAGTATAATTTACTGTGCCGTAACTGTTCTTGCATGTGTTTAGGCCCCATTCTTTCAGGTGTTGGATCGATTGTGACACCAGAAGTCAGTGAAATATAATGCACATCTTCCCGTGCGTAGACGTTCGGTGTTTTCAAAATGACATTGCCAACGTAATTTTGCACACAGATTATTAACTTTTCTGCCAAACCTATAGTAATTTAATAAACTAGTTCAGAATTGTAGGTATATACTCAATATTCCAGTGTTCCAAAATATGCTAATTAAACTTCCTATTTAACTTAACTGAACAAGGGTGTGTAGTGAGTGAGAGTTAGGGCATGTCAAGTAGTTTGGCTTTGCTACATGTCGTATAGTAGAGCATGATTTTAGTTAAGTATTAACACTAATCTAAGTCGAATATTAATGGAGTATGCACACAACCGTATTTTGCTGGGACACGTGATTTGTGTAAGTGCGTAATAACTGAATATAGAACTCGTGTACATGAATGATGTCACAAATCATCATTGATACCATGTCCTCTTGAAATAGTGCCACTGGTTGTAATCAACTTGGCTATGGGTTTCTCCCACTGATCCTAGTCTATTGCTACGTGCTACCATTCATCAGTGCCTCTTGGATGGTGATTACTAACTGTGCGTTGCTGTGTTTGTTCACAGCCGCATCTCCAAAATCCGGCGCAAGCCCCGTTCAGCCCGCAAAGATCGTGAAGGCCTTAAATCTAACTACATTACTGGAGGAGCAGCAACAGAAGGACCAGAGCTGCTCTCAAGTGAGCAATGACAGGCACGAGGTAAGTAGTAAGTCACATGTTTAATTGTTTTAATGTTGTTAGGTCATTATAGATTTGTTATCAGATGTCATTTTGTTATCAATCTGTGTTCGTACCGAGCGTATTCCTTCGTATTATTTCCAGTTTGATGAGGAAGAGGAGGAGGAAGAAGCAGAGGAAGGGGAAGATGATGATGAGGAGGAGGAGGAGGAGTGTCTTTCGTCGCCATCTAAATACCGCACCCGCTCGCCCGAGCAGTTTCCGCTCGACACTGACGATGCACACTTCAGCAGCTACAGCCAGCAGCAGCAGCAGCAGCAGCAGCAGCAGCCGCAGCCACAGACGCACATTGCCAAGAAGTCACGCAAGAAGGACGCGATGTCGCACTCAAACACGATCGACAGTCTGACGGAGGCCGGCGGCGGGAGGCCGCTGCAGGATCTGCCGCGCTCGGGTACCGTCGACAGCCTCACCGACGTGAAGAACCTGCCGGGCAGCGTGACGTCGAGCGGCTACTGCTCACATGGCTTCTCCTCACACACGCTCTCCTCAGAGGACTCGATCAGCCTGCGCAGCATCAGCGTTGACGAGACGCCCGACGTGGAAGCCGCGGGCAGGAGCAAGGAGCGCGGCGAGGATGGGGAAGAGGAGGACCCCACCGCCGTGAGGCTGAAGGAGGAAGAAGAGCAGGAGAAGGAGTACACTGCCACCGCGAGGCTGCAGGAGGAAGAGGAGCAGGAGAAGGAGGACGGGGAGGAGGAGGACCACACCGCCATGAGGCTGAAGGAAGAAGAGGAGCAAGAGAAGGAGTACACTGCCACCACGAGGCTGCAGGAGGAAGATGAGCAGGAGAAGGAGGACGGGGAGGAGGAGGACCACACCGCCATGAGGCTGAAGGAGGAAGAGGAGGAGAAGGGGAAGGAAGAGGAGTACCCCGCCGCCACAAGGCTGCAGGAGGAAGAGGAGCAGGAGGAGGAGGAGAAGGAGAAGGAGGATGAGTACCTCGCTGCCGCGAGGCTGCAGGAGGAAGAGGAGCAGAAGGAGGAGAAGGAGAAGGAGGAGGAGTACCTTGCCGCCGCGAGGCTGCAGGATGAAGAGGAGGAGGAGTACCCCACTGCTGCGAGGCTGCAGGAGAAAGAGGAGAAGGAGGAGGATGGGGAGGTAGAACAGAAGAACCCCGAATGCACTGAGGAAATTAAGGAAGAATGTGTGAGTTCTGAAGCTCATGAGGGTGTTGATGAAGGGAAGGGGGATTCCGCAAGCTCTCCCGAGTGTGCTGAGGACGGAAAGGAGGAATCTAGCAGCTGTATCTCCCAAGAGCATGGCGGTGAGATGTCGGAGGCTGGCTGTAATCTGATGGACAGCGATATTCCAGAAAGCATAAATGCTCCTATTCAACCGCTGACCCCTCTCAGCCACGCTGTGCACGATAAGCCTACACACATTGCATGCAACACGGGGGATGGCGATGAGGACACCGCTGAGAATGAGCGCAGCTTCAGATGCCCTCTCACTGGTGACATAATCAGTGATTTCTCACCATTCACGAGCACGTCCGAAAAACCAAACGTAGAGCTGGAGGACAGGCTGGATGCAGACGCAGCTCTGGATGGTCTGTTGCCACCACGTGATGCGGACACGCAGGCGGTAGCAGACTCGTGTTCGCTTAGCGTCTTCGATCCAGCTAACGTGAAGCAGTCGTCACACGATGGCAGCACCGCTAATGACAGTTTAGTGTTCGGTAATGATGATGGCACGCACGCCAGCAGTACGGAACCCACGTCGGCCCAGCCAGAATGTTTACAGGAACAGTTTGCTGGCGTTCAGACCGCGATGGAGGAAAGCTTCAGTGAAGGCAACCCACAGTGGAAGCAAGGCGATATCGAGTTGTTAGGCCACAAGGCACTGATAGATGAAGAGAAGCTGTCAGGTATGTCTCATGAACTTGTCATGACTCGTTATGTGTCTGAGTGTGACTGGTGATTGTGGTCTTCATGTTCCAATGTCAGTCTCCTTAAATTTATACGTCGACGCATTCTAAGATCAGGCAGTTCGAATTTGGTTTGTCATTGCGTAACGTATTGAAACAGTAAAAACAAAATAAACGAACAAAGCTTGGTGAAAACAACAGGTTCAGTAGTACGTGAAATAAATGATATTACTTCCTAAAGCTGTTGTATTCGGTAGTTTATTGCGACTAAGCACACTATTTACATGTATTTACCTGTATTTGCATATATCTACGTGTGTTTGCCTCGCTGTGCCTGTATTTACCTGTGTTTACCTGTATTTACCTCTGCAGGTACGGACAGCGACGAGTGCTCGAGCATCTGTTCGTTTGGCAGCCGGGCTGACCTGCACCGCATGGCTGATGCGCCTGTTCCGTCCTGGATCACCGTCGGCGAGCCGGTCGTAGTGATGCCCTACACCGCCTGCGGCGTCATCAAGTTCGTGGGCACCACCGAGTTCGCTGCCGGCAACTGGGTGGGAGTGGAGCTTGATAAACCCGCAGGTAAGTGTTGCGAGTGTACGTGTACGGGTGCCTTGATACGTGGGTGCGTGCGTGCGCGCATGTGTGTGAAACTGCTTCAGTAATTGACATACTTGTCCTACTGGCACCTCTATCCGGGTTATAGACATTGTATATTATTTAGCCTAAGTTAGTACTAATCATATACTAGTTATTATACTAGTCTATATGTATTTCTGTGATTTGGGCTGGTGACTGTCATAAATGCGCTGCGTCACGTGTGTTGGGTACGGTGGGAGCGCGTGTGTTTGTGATCGGTGTATATGCGGCAACAGTGTGTGCGCGTGTGTGCGCGCGCGTACGTGTGTGCGTGCGTTTATATGTGTGGGCGTGCATAGACGCGAGGGTGTGTGTGTGCGTGTGTGTGTGTGTTTGTATGTGTGTGTCTGTGTGTGTCTGTGTGTGTGTGTGTGTGTGTGTGTGCGTGTGTGTGTGTGTGTGTGCGCGCGTGCGTGTGTGTGTGTGCGCGCACGCGTGTACCTGCGTGCGTGTGTGTCTGCGTGCCTGCGTGCGTGTGTGTCTGCGTGCTTGCGTGCCGGCGTGCCTGCGCGCGCGCGTGTGCCTGTGTGCGTGTCTAACGTGGTGAAAGCATTCGCAGATCAAAGGTAAGATTGCGTGTACTTTAACCAGGCATGTCTCGCTTGCTTGCACCGCAGGTAAGAACGACGGCTCGGTGAAGGGCGTGCGGTACTTCAGCAGTAAGCCGCTGCACGGCATGTTCGTGCGCCACGACAAGCTCGAGAAGCGCCGCCGCAAAAGTGGCGCCACCACGCCGGGATCGGCGGCGGCCAAGGCCAACCGTAACTCGTGGCGACGCAGCCGCGCCGAAGAGTCTTCCAGCTTCATGAAGCCGACGGCATCAAGCTTCGCAAAGAAGTCTGGCCGCCATTAGAGGCCGCTGCACGCGGATTCTCGCCGCCTCCAGACGGGACAGTGGTCCGGGAAGCTCACGATGCTCTGACGTAGGGGCCTGGGGAGGGTATGCTCTCTGACGTCAGGGCCTGGGGAGAGTATGCTCTCTGTTTCCAGCAACAACGAGGCAGAGGCAACTAAACATTGAGCGAGTGTGGTAGTTGCGGTGGTGCTGACTTAAGTGTGCGTACGTGTGAGGGGGGTTCGGGCATGAGCTCGTGATATAGGATTGATAAGACCGGTGATTTTCTGTGTGGTTGTCGGTCATTGCAGACAAAAAAGTGCGCGCCTTTAGGGGAGAGCTGTGCCTGATGTGTAGCATATGTCGGTTAAGACACTAGTTTTTACTTCAGACTGTTGTAGACGTAGCGATAGATATAGGCTACGATTCCAAAGAATATCTGCCAATTTTAGAAGGAAATGGTGAGAGAACATTGGTTATTTGAGTGTATCGATGTTTAGATTTATCTTAAAATGGTCTTCTTGTAATGAAAGTTTTTAAAAAACGTAAAACATGTCTAGTAACGTAAGGGTGACACACAAAGAGAGTTGAGCGAGTGAGGAAGCCAAGGGGAATTCCTCATCGAACGACGTAGGCACGCGCAAGGTGGCGGTGATGAAAGCAAAAGCTATGTACTTGCCTTCGTTTGATTTGAGAGGAGAGATCAGGTCTACGGCAGTGGTGACCGGAGAAAATGGGTGTGCAGATTTTATGCTACGACGATACTTTAAAGTTTAAACTGAACTACTCATTTATGACGGAATTTTAGCTGGTTTCTCGCTAGAAGCTTGTTGGTCAACAGACCAGACGCTCGGCTGTCTATTTAGCTGTGTAAGCGCACGCGCGTGTGTGTTTACTTATGTGCGTGCTAGCCACAATGAATGTGTGCGTGCGCGTGCGCGTGTGCGTGCGTGCGTGCCTGTGCGTTCGTATGTACGCTCGGATGTGTGTAGGTATAATTCATGACTGATCATCTTGCATTGTCACTCAGTTAATAAACGCCATAGCATGCTAAAGCATCGATCCCATGCGTATTTCAAGAGCCATTCATAGTTAAATGTGAAAACTTCGTGATGGTATTCAGAATGGCCCCAGCAGCTATACAATATACATGAGAAAATACCTATTATGTGTTACATGGTACCTATTGCATGTCACATGGTAGTGACAGTATGTACAGGTTAACTTGACAGCTATTTCAGTGTCAGGTGGTAGGTATTACGTGTCACTTTGTAGCTATTAAATACCACGCAATAGCCATTTCATGTCACAGGGCACTTATTGCATGATACGTGATGGCCATTTCATGTGACGCGGTAGCTACATTAACAGGCCTCGTAGTTATAGCATGTTACCTGTTGACTATTGCATGTCACACGGTAGCTTCAGTATGTGACATGGTAGCTATTGTTTGTCACCTGGTAGCTGTAAATGTCGCGAATGTCACATGGTGGCTATGAATGCATAGATGCGGTATGGGACGGTAGTTCGCGCTCTGGTAGCTATGCCATATGACGTGATCACTAGAATGGTAGTTATCGTATGTGACATAGGTACTGCGCGTGATATGATAACTACCGCATGTGACGCTGTAGCTATATATATATATATATAT